AACCTATTTAATCTGCATATAAAACATTAGAAATTAGATATTTGTTTAATTTTAATTTTGTGTTTGACTGTTAAAACAAAAAAAAATGTGTTGTTTGTCTCAATAAATTGAGTTAATTTAAAAATACAGTGGTTAAATGTCAACATTTTTTTCTATTACTCTTTGTTTTAAAAAAGGCTATAAAAATGTCAATAATTATCAATACCGAACGATATGAAACATTATATCGTTGATACATTTTTTAGTTATATCGCCCAGCCCTAATTGTGCTGGTTTTAAGCCTGTGAGAAAACATTTTTATTCAGTTAACTCTTTTGAAGAGATTTTTAATAGTGTTAAGCCAGATACAGTTTTAGAGTTTTTAGCGAAAATAAAATTTAAAAACCTAATAGCATTTTGTTATAAATTTCTCTCGCCATGAAAATAGCCACAGAAGCTGGCATGGCATTAAACACAAACAAACAAACTGAGTTCTGGAGTGATCCATGGCAAGGAATGATCTGAGGGGACAGTTCTAGTCTTTAATGAGGCAAGTTCCTCCAAGGCATTGGATATAGTGTTATTATATATTGAAAGAATCTCATCTGGACTGGAGAGATTGAGGGAGAATGGCAGCGAGGAAGATGACTAAGGACTCAGCTGCTGGGATTGATTTGGGCAGGTCATCCCACCAGGAGGGAACAGTTAATGTAAAAGTCTGTGAAAGTGATTTTGTGCCTCTTTGGGATGAACAAGAAAGCGACGTTCACTTACAGAACGCAAGCTTCTAGAGGCACATAAGTCTGAAGTAATGAATTTAGGTAAAGGGGTGCAGAGTCAGTGGTGGCTTTTTTCGGCTCGTTAAAAATGAATCTTGCTGCCGTGTTCTGGATTAATTTAGGTTTGATAGATAGATTTAGGCTTTATTAATTAAGGTTTGATAGAAGTGGCTGGAAGACCTGCCAAGAGAACATTGCAATAGTTCAGCCTGGACAGAACAAGAACTTAAACAAGGAGTTGTGAAGCATGTTACAGTAGGGTATCATAGTTTTGATTTTAGGTTTATTTGGGTCACTCAGAAATGTACCTTTACCAGTCAAGGAACGGTGTTCAAAGGGTTAGTCAGTGGCAGCCCTTCTCCATCCTGGCCTACAACCAGTGTTAAAACAGTGGTGAGAAAATATGAGCTCACATAGACCTAGCCCTCATAGAAAGCAGCACCTGCGCACAAGAACTGAAGACATGTCAACATTCACTCACAGTGGACTTCATGTGATGTAATGGCAAGACGTAGAAATCCTCAGAAGCTTCTACAGATGCACCAGTGAGAGCATGCATGTGGAAACGCCTCGGCCCTTCATCACGCAGTGCTGCTGTCTCTGTGTAAATGACAAGAGTGCATCCTAACCTGATGTTCTGTGTGTGTGTGTGTGTGTCAGCTGGGCGTATCTGGAGGTCAGCACCAGCGGTGGTTATAATGACACGCTGCAGGCGTACGCTGCTGGAGTCGTGGAGGCTGCCGTCACCTCACAGGTATCACCCCTGACCCAGTCAGAGCAACATCTTTACAGTCATCTTTTCTGTTCTATTTCAGTTTTGATTGAAACAGGCTGCCACAAAAACTCCAAAGGAAAAATGCTTTACGAAATAGTGCTCATCAAGCTAGTTCCATAAATAAAATAATAAAAAATTCAGACTGAATTTGAAAACCATTCTTTTAAATACTGTACTGCATTAAATAAAATGTATAATAGAATTAACAATAATAATAATAAAAAGTGCTTCTTGTATGTAAACTGGACTGGCAGCTGGGTGTATGTAATGTAGTGCGGTTGTAGTGTATGTCATGTGGTGCTCTTTGAACCGCAGCTCATCTACAAGCACTGGATGAACACACTGATGGGTTACTGCGGCCCGTTCTCTCCCGATGTGAGCTACTGCCAGCGGCTCAAAGACTACATCACCAGCAACCTGCAGTGGCTCATGCAGCAGATGGATGCGCACGCAGACGCCCCGTACTGGCATCAGGTAGAGGAGAGAAAAAAAGGCATTCAGACTGAACCACTTCATGTACAGGCCTTTGTCTATCATTGTTTCTTGGGAGTTTTGACCTTTAGGTGTGTTTATCTGTGTAAACAATACACACTTTATGAAGTCTGTCGACCTTGTTCACCTAGCAGTGCCATCATCACTTTTACAATCTGTTTGAACTGACACACAACCACCTTCAGGGCTCGACGCTTACTTTTCTTTTTAGGAGCACTTGTGCTCCTAACTTAAAAAATTTAGGAGCACATTCAAAATTTTAGGAGCACCTTCTAATCAATAATCCAAAATGTTATCAAAAAGTAGCCTTCCCATTACGAGGTGATATTTGACTCCTCTAACTTTATTAAAAGTATGTCATCTTTTGTCAAATTCATAAAAAAATTATATTTTATAAACTTTTTAAAAAATTGTAATTAAAACGACAGAATAAGAGTAGAATAAGAAACATAAGTTAAAAATCAAACGAAATCAGTATTAACAAAAATAGTTCGTAGAGGTGGCACAGAAGAACACAAAAGTGGCTTGATGTACTTTCAGACATTTAATGAGGTTCAGAAGTGGAATGAGTGCAATTAAATCCATAAATCCATGATGATATTAATGTTTTAAATATAAAAATTTGAATATAGAAATATTAAATGATTTAAATAACTGAAAAGATACTTTAAAAATGAAACAAAAAACTCCTAAGCGATTGAGGTGTTTTGTTGTTGGATGTAATAATGAACATAGCAGTCGTCATTTACTCCCGTCATCTGAGCCGCTGAAGACGCAGTGGATTACATTGTTTCTGAAGGGAATGCATCCTCCGATCTACCTAAATGCGTTTGTTCGCGCAAATCATTCGTGATCCAGATTCACCTACAGAAGAAATAAGTATAAGGTTCTTTTATGAATCTTTGCAAATCACCTTTCCTAATAATGTGCTAGTTCGCAAGATGACCCCTTTAACATGTGCACACTGATTAGTCTTCCTCCTTGCATTTATGTGGAAATTAGGCCCAATGTTGAGAAAGAAGAATCAGTTGCGATGGCAGCAGATTGTTTATACCCGCTGTAGAATAGGTCACTGCAGGATGACACAAGTTTTTAATACTAGAAGATCCTCCAACATGCTCTCTCTGCCGAAACCCTTTATCCATGAAGCATGTTTTATTAGATTGTGCTGGTTTTAACCCTGTGAGAGAACATGTTTATTCAGTTAACTCTTTTGAAGAGATTTTTAACGGAGTCAAGCCAGATACAGTTTTAGAGTTCATGATTTAATTGAGCCATAAATTTTCTCGCCACAAACAAACAAACAGCATTTATGTGCGTACTGAAGAGGGATTGGCTGTTGCGTCCGTGACACTGCAGCTGTGTTGATTCATGGTCATAGCCAACAGAAACAGATGCGCCGAGAGTCATGACAGTTCACATTTACTGTTGCTCTGTGAAGTTTTGTGAGCAAAATCCACTCATTCCAGTAGGAGTCTGCACGCTTGGCAGTTTCTCGTGAGGGTGAAACACTTCCCCACACGAGTTTTGCTCATTTTCAAGTTGGTCACATGAATTCGCCGCATTGACCAACAGAAAGCTGCTTGTTTTTTTTTAAAGTGACTTCTCTAGTCAAGTCAAGTCACCTTTATTTATAAAGCGCTTTTAACAATACAGATTGTATCAAAGCAGCTTTACAGTATTAAATAGGAAAATAGTGTCAATAATGCAAAATGATATTAGTAAACACTCTAAGCACTTTCAGTTAAAGGCAGTTCATCATTGAATTCAGTGATGTCATCATCCAGCTCAGTTCAGTTTAAATAGTGTCTGTGCAATCAAGTCGACAATATCGCTGGAAATTAAGTGTCCCCAACTAAGCAAGCCAGAGGAACCAAAACTCCATTGGTGACAGAATGGAGAAAAAACCTTGGGAGAAACCAGGCTCAGTCGGTGGACAAGTTCTCCTCTGGCCAGACGAAACCAGCAGTTCAATTCCAGGCTGCAGCAAAGTCAGATTGTGCAGAGGACTCAACTGGTTCTCTATGAGCGGCGCTTCGTACGGCTGTTTTTGCTTATGACATTTCGCTGCAGTTTCACTATGTGAGCATACCTCAATGCAGAAGCAAAGTTTGCCCTTCAAGCTCTCTTTCCGGTGTTTCTGTTGCGTGTTCACACAGCTCTGTGCGATGTTCCTCTGCAGGTGCGTTTGTCTTTGCTGCAGCTGCAGGGTCTGGAGGACGGCTACAACGGGCAGATTGAGTTTCCGTCTGGAAGCCTTTCCATCAACCCCTTTGGCTTCCTGTGAGTAAAGACATGTTTGGTTTTTCTTATTCCATGCGCAGTATTATTATTGCATGCGCATTCTTCCTCTCTGCGCAGCCTTTTCCAGATGGGTGGAGACCTGGAGGACCTGGAGGCGGCGCTGAACAAATCCCACCAGTCTCGCGCCGTAGGCTCCGGCTCCTGCTCGGCTCTGATCAAGTTCCTCCCGGGCCGCAAGGATCTGCTGGTGTCACATGACACCTGGAACAACTACCAGTCAATGCTAAGGATACTGAAGAGATACAGCTTTGCTTACCGCACGTCTCCCACAGGTATAAAGCTCACCTCACTGCATCTGAGTGAGATTAAAAGTGTGCTCGCTTCTTTTCAGATGTACACATTAGAATCTGGTTGTTGTGAAATGGATTTCTAACATGTTCTATGGATTCAGATTTCTGAAAACTGAAATTGTTTGCAGTGGCAGCCCACAACACAAAGACGGTCACTGTGATTTTGCCAAGCAACACATGTTCCTGGATCAACATTAGTGTCCAAAAATATAGACCTATCCCTACCCATAATATATCCCTAAAATCAGAGAGAAATGATGGTTGAATAACAAGGGTGTAGAAGCACCTATCTGTGGTTGTAAGGTTAAAATTGACATTTCCTTTAAACTTATCCCTCAATTCTGATTGGTTGATTGGAATGTTGTTCCAGGAACATGTTGCACTTGGTAAAATCACGTTCACCAACAAAGACACAACCCAGAAATGGACTATGAATAGATGGATAAGATACTGAGAGACAGCAACAACATGTGCATTTTAATGTAGGGCTGTCGCGATTCGTCGATTTTATTAGACTATTCGATTTTTTTAAATCCTCGACTTAATTTTGCTCGCGTCGACTAACCGGCAAAATACCGGATGTGGCGCATAATTTTAATTAAGCATAATTGTGAATTCACAAACGCTACGATTTAATTAAATAATTATATGCGATGCAGTTCTAATACAGTATATGCGCTTTAATTATTTACATGCGTGTAGGTTAAGTACGTGCGTCACACAACGGCTTCGTTCACAGTAGTTCCACAGGAACTGTTATCATTTACACGTGTGAAGCGTCTCAAACTCCATCTCTGCATGTTGTTGTGAGTTTGGGTTTATTATAACATTCATCTGGGAACGCAACGTGCGGCATTTCATCAGATTTGTAAGGTAAATCATTTATAAATCTACGCAAACTCAGGAGAATACATCGCGGTTTCAAAATAAAAGCTCAAAC